TATATATATATATATATATATATATGAATTGATTAAACTTATACTATGATAAATACTTTCAAAAGTTACCTAATAGTGTAAAACAACTATCTTTTCACGACTACAATTGTTATGAAGCTTGTCTCCTATATACAAAAATTTAGTTCTCTAGCAAAGGAATTTAACCATGTATATAGATGAGGAAAAAAAAGTTATTTTAGTATAATATGGACATCATAAAACTTGAAGGAAACCATATAATAGTTCGCGTAATATTTTTTTTATTTTAATTCTTGACATTAGTATGTTATGACATCTAATTTTTATGTGACATACTTCTTAGTATTATTTCATGAGTCATGATGACACATAACTAATTCAAAACAAAATAATATTTCAAGAACTAAATTTTTTAAAAAAATATATATAAAAAAAATAAAAAATTTATTTTACATAAATCAAAATGTTGATTAACATGTGTGTACACCTAAGTGCAAGCCTGTATTAAATTCCTCTTAAAATATCTATATATACTCCAAATATGAGCCTAAAAGACTCTACATATTTGGTTTAGTGTGCTTAAAGGTTTTATTGTATCCATTAGTACATGATAATAATTTAAAATACTTTTTTCTATTATAAAATAAATTATTTATTATATAAATAATTATTCAATGCTTATCCCTAAAATAAGGTTAAAATTAAACGTTTTTTATTTCAAAAACTTTATTAAATACCTATTCTTGTTCAATGTGTGAACTAATTGTGTACAAAATTATTTAATCTTAACTGATAGTTATTACACTCTTCTACTCCATAAATATTTTAATATAATATAAAAATAATATAAAATAATTTATAAATAGTAAAATTATATTCATAAGAAAAATGAATAACATTATGTGTCTTATTGTATAAAATTTGAGTATTTAATAATAAAATAAATCTTAAAATAAAATAATTAGACGTTGAAATAATCTTTACAAGTTTCAAAACAAAAACTTAAAAAGTAAATAAAACTCTAAAAACATATACATCCATCATGTTATAAACATATAAAAGTATAAAGTAATATTCTAAGTCCCAATATCACAACTAATTAAAGCAGTCCTATCAAAATAAATTAGAACCCTGAGCTTTGTCTTGTACAAACTCGAATTCATTTACTTATCCGCACGTGAAATTATCATTTAGCCCAATAAAAAAATAGAACAAAAACAGGAGTAAGAATGTTTCAATTATGATTAAGTACATATAAAGAAAATAGATAGTAACTAGACACAAATAATAAATTATTCAAGTTCATACATAAACATAACATAAAACCTCGGACTCGTGTGAATCCATACTCTTAATTAAACCACTTTCTAACACTTCCATTATACATATTATTTACATGAGTCGATCCAATTTATCAATCACAACAAAAACTCCAAATTAATCATATAAGAACCCTAACCACATAAAGCTATCTACATAGGCTTAGAGATTGACTTGCTATCTATAATATTTACAAGTCTCATGTGTGAGATAATCATGCCCCCTCTTACATCAAAAGATAATCTCTTATGCAAAAGACACGATCTTATAGTAATTTTGAGGTTGTTCTATTCACTCTTTAAGCAATAGCTGCTATACATTTTTTTCTCACATGTTAAAAACAACAACAGAACTCTAAAATGTGATTCTTTAACCCCTTTCTTTTTGGCTGCTATGCATTTTTCTCTCACATGTTAAAAGCAACAACAAAACTCTTAAATGTGGTTCTTTAACCCCTCTCTTTTTTATTTTATAGGGTTGAATTTGGATCCTCTCCTGCAATCTATAGGGTAAGACTTGAGTTGAGATTTTGAATTCCAAACCCAAAAACTAACCTACTAAACTAACACATTTACTACAAGACATATATTTATTTTATTTTTTTTAAAACATCCCTCATTTATATATTATAAAATTAATAATTTAATTAACTCTGTGATATAAATACAAATTAAATAAGTTTATTTTATTAGTTTTTGAAAAATAAAAGATGTCACAGTAATAATATGCATTAAATAATAAATTATATATATATATATATATATATGATATTTGTACCCACAACTACTGATGTATTTGTTTTATGCAAAACACGAATTCTAATGTTCCATACAATGAAAAAGATACCTTGCATAGTTTTTTTAATCAACAAAACTTGATGACATAGTCCAAGTTCCTACAAAGTGTGACATAAGCAAATTTTTATATTTTATGTAGTCCAAAGTTTGATTAGTTTTTAACTTTTTGTTAGAAAATATTGTTTAGAAAAATGTGAAAACTTTTACTATAAAATTGAAGCGACTAGGAAAAGTTTAACGAAGTTAACGGATTAAATTTCGCCGCAAAGATGGACCAGAGTCACAAGATGATGAGGGGAAAGGATCAAACACACAGAAGGAGCCATGAATAAAAGATCGGAAATTTTCATGCAAAAGCAAAGATTTAAGTAGTTTAACTATGCACTTAATATCTAATTTTTATAAGCTTTACTTTTATTTCACAAATTTTATTTAAATAAACAACAAATATTAAAAATAAAAAAGTATGATATATATATATATATATATATTATACTTTTGCTTTCCATGCATAACTCGGTTGAACAAAATTATTTGAAAGATATAAGTCCTCTATGACAATGAAGAAAAAAGTTTCATTCCTCTATTAAAAACTTCACATTTACCTGAGGGATCTTGTTTTATTTTTAACATTTTATATTTTTTCTAAAAAATCACATTTTGATAGGGTACTATTATTAATCATGTAATGAGATTAAAAAATCATGAAAAATTGTGATTTAAAAAAAAAACTAGTTATTAATATAAAGAAGGATCAGCAATAGAGTTGAAATTGATGTAATATGTATAAATTTGGTTACCATCATTATAGTTTTCGCATAATAAAAAAAAGTCTTTATATTTTGTATCAATTTTTACTTTTAATACTTAACTTTTTTCTATAGTTAACATTTTAGTGATTGAAATAAATTATTTTGTTTACGGAAAAATTTTGAGACTAAAAAACCAAAAGCATGTAAAAAAGAGTGTGTCGGCATTCTTCTAAAGATAATAAATGTGGTTAACAACTTTTTCTTCCTTTCTTTTTCCTTTTCTTAGATATTTTCTATTCTATTCCGCGAATATAAAATGACCACTTTCATAAATGGGACAACTCTCGCTCGGATTCCATGGAATTTCGTTGTCTAAATTCGTTGTTATGTGTCAAACACTGAACGAATCAACTTCCTTCTCCTAAACAACAACTACCTCAAACCAGAGAAACCTTTTCAATCTTCCTTTTCATTTTAATTTTTTTCTACTTGTTGTTCAATTTTCTATTGAACTTGAAACTGTGGCAATGGCATGATTGGTGTGAAGGGTGAACAAACGTGATTGTGATTCCTTAGTGTTTCAATTCCCTTTTTGTGCTGTGAAACTTTTCTGGGCACTTTCCACTACTCAATGAGAACTGTAGCTTATACTTCAACTGGGTTGAGCTAGAGTTCCAAAAAGGTTTGAACTTTAAGCTTACCAAATCTTCTTTGTGCTTAAATGACTGGTGGGTTGTGTTGTGCTAGCTGGCCAAGTCCGTTTTTACTGGAACTTTAAATGCTTACCTAAGCACTTTACAAGAACTTTCAATTATTAAGCGATATTTTGGTCTTCTAGGCCCACTTGCCATGTGTTTGTGAAAAGTTAAAAGGAGAAACCGGTTCAAGTCCTTTTGAGTTTATCAGAGTTTGATTGCTATTTTTTTATGTGGTGAATTTGGGTGTGTTCAGAGGGTGCTACAATTTTGGTTTGTTGGGTTTGGTTATTGTGTTTGGGCTTGGCTTAGTTATAGATTTACTGAGAATTTGAAAATACAGATTCTTGGATGGCCTGTAATGGGATTGAATATTTGTCCAAACCCCAAAGAATCATTAGAAGGTTTTGATTGCAAACCAAGGAAAGATCTTAGTCAAATGGGCGATGATGTGCTAGTGACAGTTGGAAATATATCTCAAGATGAACGGCCTGAATCAGCTTCTTCTAAGAAGGAAGATGATTGGAAGGAAAATTTGGAGCAGAAATCATCAGAAGTTAATTCTGCACCTGGAGTAGGTTAGTGCTCATCAACTTTAAGTTAAAGATTCTTTTATTACTCCTATTCTTTTATCTAATCCTATTAGGCAGTTGATGGTTGTGAAATAGGAATTAGATTTGTTGTAAATTAGGTTAATAAAGGTGTTTTCTGTCCATGTCAGCCTCTTAGGTTGTTTTCAGCCGAACTAACTCTTTTGCCCGAGTATGGTTGGCAAACTCTACATATATTGACGGTAGACTCTGATATCACAACAGAAAAGTTTTTCTAGCTTTGTACGTGTTATTCTACCTATATTGGTCTGTTTAATGTGCAAATTTGTGGAGATTACAGTAGCAGAGCCACAATATTAGCTGAGGAATTTACCTAACAACAACAAAAAGCCTTATCTTACTTCGTGAGATTGACTGCATGGATCACATGATGCCATTCAACTCAATCTAAGGCAAAATTTTTCAAGATATCATTTACCATGAAATTTTTCCCCAATGTCCTTCTTGATCTCAACCTTTTTACAGAACAACAAACCATGCAATCTACTCTCCTCACCGGTGCTTCTAGTTGCCTTCTTTGTATGTGTCTAAGCTACCTTAAATGATTTTTTGTCATCTTTTCCTCAATCAGTGCTACACCAATATCTTCTTGTAAACAATTTTTTCATATCCTGTACTCTTATTTTGACACACATTCATCATAACATTTTCATTTCTTCTACTCCCACCTTTTTCTCTTGTCCCTTTAAAGTCCAACATTCACTGTAATAGAGTATAGCCGGACATATGATAGTATAATAAAACTTGCTTTCGAGTGTGGTAGGTACTTCGCAATCACAAAAAAACCTTGTTTGTTTCCTTTCTCCATTTTAGCCATTCCTATTGTATGTGTGTAACATCCTCATTAATTTCTCTGTGACAAGGGAGAAAATGATGACTTGAAAATGGAGTAGTGTGTGATGAAAGGGAAAGGGGCACGCATGGAAAAGTGGAGGGGAAAGGATTTTAAAGAAGGTCTATAGGATTAATGCCAAGATTTTGAAATTGCTTTATGAATTGAAAATGAAATCCCCTAGTCAAATGCCTTTATTCATTTATCATTGTTGTTGCGTCATGGACTCTAATTTACTTTGCTTATGTAAAATGCCTTGTCCAAAAGAGGAATTTTCAGGTCTATAAAGTGTCTGTTTCCTTTATATTTGACATTCACAAATTTAAATGCTATGTTTTGATTTTGTTACTTTCAATCTCAAAAGCTTTTATTACCTTTAAAAAAGAATTGTGGTTTTTGATATTTCCCAATGGCATTGACTGATTCCTGTAGCTGACCCTCCAAGTGGGATAAGGCTTGTTTTTTGTTGTTGTGCATGTCTGCCTCCTACCATGGGTATATGCTGTTGGTATCATCCCTTTGGACTATTGTTTCTTTTGAAAATTTAATTTGGTGTTTCTTGGTATAATGTTGAAATTTGCTCTTGAAGGTTTGGACCATTTCATCCCAGAGCCTGATGGAACTGAGAGGAACCTGCTTGTTGCTGACTATGCGACTATGTTTTCTAGATCAATGATGGAGAAATGGGGTTCTCCAAGGCAAGACCTAATATGGGACAGGCTATCAGAGTCTGAGAAGGTAGACAAACGTTATATCTTGTTATGTTGTTGTTATTTCTTTCCAATTTGAGTAAGTTATACTCATATTATGTTTTTTGTATGTTTGTATATCCTGTTTAATATTGTTTGAGCAATGCAAATCTGGACGCTTGATTGTTTACATTTTATATATTTTAATGATTTATACAAAGGTGATGGCTCTAACATTTTGTTTACATTTTTTTAACTTTTTATTTGGGAAAGATGTCTCTCCAGTGGTTTAGTATCCAAATATTTGAAATTCAATTAAATAGTGTCTTCATATTAATACTTCAATTTTCTCATCAGTAAATGTATAATGTGCTCAGCTTGTTTTCCTTTCCTACCCAAATTGAACTATTAAAGCATTAAGAGTTTTTCTATGTCTGAAGGCCTTTATTATATAGCTTTCTTCTTGACATTTCTGTGTTTGTGATTTATTTATTAGAGTTGTCAAATTCTCCTGAATGGTCACAACTCAACACTTTTATCTTGTTTCTCAGCAAAAGCTGATTAACCTAGCGAAGATACAAAATGATGGGACTATTGAAGTAAATCTAGAAAAAGATGCACCTCTTGCATCAGAATTGTTGGAGTTCCAATCATTTGAAGAGTCAACTGTAAGTGGAACTCTTATGTCTGAATCAAAAAAATCAGCTCCCTGGTTACAAATTGCCATACTTGTGGTTGGAACTAGAGGTGATGTACAACCTTTCCTGGCCATAGCAAAAAAGCTTCAGGTATTTTGAACATTTCCATCCTATTCATCCTAGTGCACAAGGGAACAAAAATGTCAAATAATTGTGACTTTTGTTATTGCTTATTGAATGTTTCTGATATCATGATATTGTATTCGCTGTGAATTAATTCCTTCTACCTAATAAAAAAATGTTGTCCTCCATCCAACATGGATGTATTTTGACTTTTGTGCGAGATCATTATTTCTTCCCCATTCAATGATAAAATCTGTTGCCACTGTTTCTGGTTGTCTATAATTATTTTTGTATATAAACACTTAAACAACATATCAGTCTTAAGAGATCAATGGCATTTGTTGAAATTATGTTTTAGGTATTGATGCAGAGAACAGAAACAAATAAAAGTGAGATTGATATTGACTTCGTTTGATGTGATTTATAGAAGTGTGATGATATGTTTTTCACAAAACTTAAAGCCCTAGCCCTTATTTTATAATATTCATAAACCTAACTAAATTTGAAACAAATAATGAAATAAAATTATGGTACCAATTCTTAGAAATAGGAAAACTAATCCTAAAGGATAATCTAAGATAAAATATGGTCAAAGGTATTGAATATTTTCATTCAACAGCGTTGAATTCCAAACTTTTTCATTGCCTCTTGATAACTTGATTGTTACCTTCCATCCTATGAGCTTTATTAACTTATACATCATGTTCTCACATTCATTTGAAGCTTTTTCTCTGATCTTGTGTCCTTTTTTAGTTGCATTTGTTTTGTGCATGCCTTTGACGGGTACATTTAGTTATTAATATTAATATTTATCTTAACTTGTCTTCTGTCTGTTACTTTCAATGAAATGTCAGTAGCTCTACTACTATAACCAAAAGTCACGGCATAAGCAATTATTTAATTCAGTTATATTCATATTCACATTGTTGTGATGCAACTTGTATATTTTCCTAATTGCTGTTATGAGAGTTGTGCTACTGATCTTATTTGAGAGAATGCAAAATCATGATTTCCAAACTACTGTTAATGAATTCTGTATCAAAACCATTAGCTTTCCTGAATTCACTTTTTCTGCAGGAGCATGGTCATCATGTTAGGCTGGCAACTCATACTGATTTTGACGTGTTTGTAAAGTCTGCTGGTGTTGATTTCTATCCGTTGGGTGGTGATCCTCGTGCTTTGGCACGATGTAAGAGGTTCCTTTTTAATATTTCCATTAATATCTAATAATTCTCATCTCAATCTGTACTTTGTTCTTAACATGCCTAGACCTTTTTTTAGCTCCTTAATACTTATCTTTGGTTCACCGTTCACCTGTTCAACTTGGTATTTAGAAAGTATGCTAGAATGCACTGGTATCTTCTTGGTGCATAAATAAACTCTTGAGCATTAAGGATTAATTTCAATATTGTATATTGGTTAAATATATTTATGCTGGCCTAGAATTGCACATGAATCTAAACCAGATTCATGGAGCAAGGATTTCAAGTAGTGGTCAGGCATTTTAAATAACTAATTGCTTTGTAATTATTGAATCTTATAATCTCTTCTCATGTAATTCAATTAATCCTCGTAGTAAGTGAATTCTTTAATGTCTAGTTGTAAGATATTTTGAAATTATCAAAAGCATTTTTATTTCTTTTTCCATCATTGTCCAATAGCTAAAGATTTACAAGATCATGGAAGCCATGTTTAGCAAGCTAGTGCTCACAGTGTGATATTTCTAGTTTTGACACTCTTTTGGTATTTAGCTCAGTCACATTATTTTGAAGCATGCTGAATGAAATAAAGTTGTGATCAGTTGGATTAGACGCAACATATAAGGTCATTATTAAAAATAAGTTTTATGTTTGGATGTGACGTGAAAAGTGATTTTAAGAGAATCTGTTTTGTTTGAATTGTCTAAAAGAATCACTTTCTCATAGTAAAATTGCTATGAAGTTATTTGTATTTTGTAATGGTATTTAAAATAATTAAATTATTGGTGATAAAATGGAAATGTAGAAGTTAGCCAGAAAATAGTTTGACCGCATTTAGTCATAAGCTTCAAACTTTTCCTTATGATTAAAAGGCTGTTTCTTTTGCTAAAATAATCAAACATTATATTCTAAAATTCATGCCATTGCCATCCAAGAGCTTTTTTCATTTAAAAAGCTTTTCCTCATGAAATTTGATCACTGCCAATTGCCAAACACTCGACATGTTATGCCTCTTCTTTCTGCTCATTGTATATATTTACTAAATGTTAAATATGAAGCCGATCATGAGCCTTGGTTTGAGAGCTTAGGTTTTTGAAATACTTGGTCCTTGATTTAGTATTAGTGCCTTTATGACTAATTGAGAAGTTTTCAGTCCTTGCCACTTTCATTCTGATAAAAAGTTGAATGTCAACATATGATAGAGTGGGCATATGCATTGTTCATGCTTTAAGCCCAAAGGGCTTTCACATGTGGGGTCATCTTAGATACAAATCAATCATAAGTTTTTGCATAATGGTTTAAGCTTTTAGGAGAGTTGGTCCTTGACATAGGCTAATTGAGTTATTTCTATCATAGATATGGTGAGGAATAAAGGTATAATCCCATCTGGTCCAACCGAAATATCTATCCAAAGAAAGCAGCTGAAGGCTATTGTTGATTCTCTTCTTCCAGCATGCATAGCACCTGATTTGGAAACTGGTGTTCCTTTTAGAGCTCAAGCTATTATTGCCAATCCTACTGCATGTGGTGAGTGGTTAGAACTTAGAGAAGATTATTGCATCATGTATATCTTCAGTTCATACCTTGATTACTATTCATTTATCTTTTGGTTTAATTGCTATTTTTCTTTTAGTGTGACATGATAGTTGTATTGTTTGCTTTGCAAGTATGACATTTGAAGGTTCCGTCATTTGACTTGACTTTTGACACTACTCTTTTTTATGTGTAATTGAACTTAGGTTTACTTAATGATAAAACAAAACAATATTCATGGCATGCCATATTTATGTCATTATTCATTAATTTTAAATTATTGACCCTCATGTTTGCATGTTGGTATAGCTGATTGAAGTGCATTAGCATCTTGCATAAGTACACAAGTAAATTTCCAGTGTTTATAAACCTTAATTTGGGCTTTGGCTTTTATTTCATTTAATCATGAGCTTAACTAATGTATAAAATAAAGAAAAAAATAGAGTCTTTCAAGTGATCATTCTGGCACCAAACTGATTGATAACTTATGAACTAAAGCTGGAAAAATATTGCTGTTATATCTTCTCATGCTTCATAATGCAATGCATGTTAGAGATAAATGGAAATAAATAAAGAGTAGTGTTTATAATAAATTAGAGAAAAGGGTAATAGGAGAAATGTGAAAGTCAATCTGTAGTTGGTCTGATTTTTCTTTCATTTTTTGTTTTATATTTTCCTAATATCCTTTACTTATGTATCGTACTCCAATTAATATTAACCTAAAGTGTTTGGTGTTGATCCTTTGCTTCATAAGACTTGGAGCCCAAAAAATGACCGCTTAGATTAAAGTATAAAATTTAAGGGCATTCATATTAAAAGCATGAATAATGATGATACTTTTTTCTATACGTTATTTCTCAAATACAAGAGTTATTGAATTGCACCGTCTTTTTTCCCCTAGAAAAGATGCTTTTCATTTTACAAAAGTATGCTTGTTTGTTTATTTCGTAAACTCTTTTTTTCTTTTCTTTTATTTTATGGAAAATTGGTCTGGTGTAGATAATTAATCTTTTGTTCTGGCTTGCAGGACATACACACGTTGCCGAAGCCCTTGGGGTGCCCCTTCACATCTTCTTCACAATGCCTTGGACGTGAGTTTAAATTGTTTATAACCTTTAAGCATAAATTTTAACATTAGGTCACTTTAAATATGAAAAACAGAGATTTGTTTCATAAAAAGATATAAGAGTACTTCCTGGTTTTTTACTTGAAATATTAAAATTTAAAACAGTACAGATATCTTGTAATAACTAAAAGAAGGAATGATGGTGTTTTAATTTTAAATATTTAGATAACTGCAACATTTTCATATCAAATAATTACCCATTAATCCATTATCCAATTGTCAAGGAAAGTGCATTATCTTTATAGGATCACAAAATGGATCCTTGAAATGATGTAGCTTTGCTTTGATGCATAGAACAAAGGAGATAGAAGTGGATAAAAAATGGCAATCCTCTCTATCTTTAATTTTGCAAATATTTGAGGGTCCGGGCATTATTAACATACCAGTCATTGAGAATACACATCAGAGAGACACTTGGCCTGTTGGCCATCTCCCAAGTGATCCTTCAGTTTTGAAAGTTCAAAGGAAGGAGAAAGGATCACGTGAGCAAGAGGGATTGAACCTCTCAAGTTCCATCCTTCTCTTTATTAAACTGCCTCCAATTTTGTGACTAGATGAGGGTTTAATTTTGATATAATCTCAGTGTAAAGTTATTTTACTCTATCATTTAATCATGTATTCAATTATTAAGAAAAGGTCGGCTTTTCAAGGAGTTAATTATCATAGTAAAACTCTTCCAGTGACATGGCATGCATGACTTGATGCTAAAAAACTTTTACATTGATAGTGGATGAAAAATTATAAAAATAAAGAATAGGGTTTTTAATGAATGTGTGTGATACCCTTACATCTGATCTTTATTTATAATCATGATAGGAGGTAATTAAGGATAGAAAGAATGAAAACAATCCTATTTTCTAGCAATGGAATCTTTGCATGTTTACATATAATAAAAACATATATTTAACAAAATATATCCTAAATTATTTTATGGTTTATTAAATCAGACTTTTAAATCTTCCAATTAAGAAGAAAAATTATGTTCAATTGCATCTTAAGATAAAAAAAAAAGAATAGACTTTCTGGCCAATTTTATAGTTCTTTCTAAATTCTTTTTTGAGGTAGTAGATTCTTACGTTTATTTTTTTTCAATAGGCAGGCCAACATATGAGTTCCCACACCCTTTGGCACGTGTTCCTCAAAGTGCTGGTTATTGGGTACGTCCTTTGCTGAAACTATTTTCTGCAATCTGAATTCAATTATTTGTGAATAAGTTGCTGGACTAGTTTGCCAGTAAACCTGTTTCAATATGTTCTTGCTGCATCCAGCTGTCATATATAATTGTGGATCTGTTGATATGGTGGGGGATACGAGGAATTATCAATGACTTCCGGAAAAGAAAATTGAAGCTTGCTCCTGTTGCATACTTCAGTATGTACCATGGATCAATATCTCATTTACCGACTGGCTATATGTGGAGTTCCCATGTTGTTCCAAAACCAAGTGGTATGGACAAGGATGCAATACAGTTGCATAATTTGATGTTGTCCTTTTTGTACTTTTTAAATGAATAATCTTTTGTTGTTTAAGTTATTGAAGTATGAGATAAATTCATTAGTTGTTACAATCATGAGTAGCCTCAGTCCCAGAGTAACTACTGACTTGGTAGTTGCTTTTAGTCTGAGATAGATAATTTGAATTGTGGATATATAAAGTCATCTGTTGTAATTAAATAATTGGATAATTTTATTTTTCGTATTATGTAAAGTATTATCAAGGAGCTGAGGACAATCTAACTGTGCTTCAAATTGGGTTCCACTATGTCTAGATCATATTAGGATGTTGAGTGTAGTACATAATTTCTATTGCATTGTTGTTAAATGGTGGTGCCATGGCAGATTTTGTTTTCCAGTTGCCATAGGCAACTTGTGAAGGGAGGTCTGCTATGGTGTGTTTATATCGCAGAATTTTTACATAATATCATTATTTTTACATAATGCCTGTCTTGAGATGATTAGTAGATGTGTTTTACTTTCTGTCTTGAGCGTGCTACCAGCACTAATGGCATTTAAAAATTTTGCAGACTGGGGTCCTTTAGTTGACGTTGTTGGTTATTGCTTTTTGGACCTTGGATCAAAGTATCAACCACAGGAAGATTTTGTCCGATGGATTCAGAAAGGATCAAAACCTATATATTTTGGTTTTGGGAGTATGGTATGATAATTTCACTTGAAGTGATTCATTTTGTATAAACAAATTGGCGGGCATTTTCTGCAATTTTAATCTTTTTGTGTTTTGGATTTTTATAACATTACTACCACTGATTGGTTTTTAATACTTTCTATATCCTTGGGAACTCAGATCTTTCTTCAAAAAAATAAAGCAATTGATTTGATTTTGCATGAAAAAATTTATAGGTTATGTTTTCCTTCAAGACCTAGCTGGCGCCTAAATATAAACAAGAGTGTATTTATCTGTTGCATGTATACATTGCAGCACATGTTTAATTTCACTTCTCAAATTTGGACATGATCAGTGTACTGGCCGACTTGACATATTAATATAAGAGTGATTTGCATTTATACAATAGAATCGGTATTATTTATCTTGCCTCAATTTACAGTTTGAGGGATACACTAAAGCTAGAAAATTTTACATTTTATGCCTTTATACCGTTATCAATTTTTTATAATGAAATTTTGGAGTTCTCTAATGAAAATACTGTGTTTCACATTGTTAGCCTCTTGATGATCCTAAAAGAACTACTGATATCATAATGGAGGCACTAAAGGATACAAAACAACGGGGAATTATTGACAAGGGCTGGGGAAATCTAGGGAACTGTAAGTAGTTTCCTTCAATTTCATTTTGTCACCATTTGTTTCCTTTATTCCAAATAATCATTATTTATAAATATCTTATATTTATTGTTGGTTTGATGTTGTTATTCGCTTGTATGTTGGTGTCAATGAATGGCTGTAATGCATTATGTTCAATACTTTAGATAAGGTTTCCTCTTATCTATCCATTTACTTTCCTTTATTTTGATAGTTGTAGTTCATCCGCGTTTTTGTGAGTTTGTGTGTGTATATATATATATGTATTTGCACTACATAGTTGTTTGTTTGATTTTTTCATTCTGCTATGCTGGACTTTTATATTCTTTTGAATTTAAAAGTTCTCTTAAGGATGACCTATTGACCTTTAACATGACATGTGATTATACAAATTAATAAGGATTCTTCTTTACTTTTAGAAAGACAGAGAAACATAATAATACTTGTAAAAAAATTGCTTCTACCTAAAGTAATAATTTTAATTTATAAGAAACAAGGAAAGAAATTAACACCTATAGGCTAAAGCATATAGAAATTGAATGTTTTAGAACTTATTAATATTCCACAAAGACAGCTCAAATATATATATATACACACACACACACACACATAGGGAGGGATCCACTTATTTTAAGACTAAATCTTGGTAGACTTATTTCACTCAATAACTCATTCTACATCAAATTTCAACAATTCAATTGTTAATTGTTAAATTAAATTTTTTTAATACATAGATTAATATCTTGTGTACATCCAAGACATTGCCAAATCTTCCATATCATTACCACTTACTAGGTTGTAAACTTTTTTCTTTAATACTGTCCATCCTTTTGCTGTTGATAATAAATATCCAGTGTGAATGATAACAATGTTGTTTAATTTTCTACACTCTTGATAGTCTTGGTGAGAATTGATAAAGGTGTCCATTACATATGATGTTATATTACTTTTAGATAATTATTAGTTTCACTTGTATTATGTTTTCCATTATGCAGTGGCAGAAGTTCCTGACAATGTTTTCCTGCTAGAGGAATGCCCTCATGACTGGCTGTTTCCTCAATGTTCTGCTTTGGTCAGTTCCAATTTTTATTCTCTTGTGGATTATTTTCAAAAGAAAGAAAATTGTTTCGACTGTCCTAGAGAGATTTCCTTTGATTTATAGTTTAGTCCTTTGGCTATAATTCTTGATAACAACAACCTGGTTAGGTGTGAAAAGTTCTTGCCACTGAAAGTTGAGAGAAAGAAGGGGGAGGTTGATGTGGAATATGTATGCACTTACATATCTGGTTACAAAATAAATTGACTCGGTATATTTTGGCACAAAATTTAAAAATGCAGGTGCATCATGGTGGTGCTGGAACAACGGCTACAGGACTAAAGGCTGGGGTAATGTTCTTTTCCTATAGTGTCATAAGAAATGTTTTTCTTTTCATTAATTGAAGGATCTTTATTAATCTCTCAGGATTTTATTTTAATAGCATCATTGTTCATTATTAAAAAAAAGAAAAGAAAAACAGTAGTACATCTTTCTTTTTCTCATTTTTTTTTTTTTTTTTGCAATGTGAATATCATAACTCAGTGTCCAACAACCATCGTTCCATTCTTTGGAGATCAGTTCTTTTGGGGAGATAGAATATATCAGAAAGGGCTGGGACCAGCTCCAATTCCAATATCTCAGCTCAGTCTTGAGAGTTTATCCGATGCCATAAAATTCATGCTCCGGCTAGAGGTAACTACTAATTCTATGCAATATCCATCCCTACTAATCCCAAAATATGTTAATAGGCTTCGAATTTAAATAAGGAAAAAAATCATTGCCAAATGAAATGCACTCCTAACTTGCATTAATGCGCCTGTTCAATTGATGTTCTTCCTCTGATGTAATTTTGGAACTTGATAATTTATGATATATTTGGAAAAAAAAAATGTAACCCTCGTTTTATCCAATCTACCAATACTTACTTCTCTAGAATGTGTGAAGAAGTTTGGTGCCCATGCAAACTGCAATGTAAGCATATACAATTTATGTTTTCATGTTTTGTTCAATGTAAGCATAAATCAAAATTCATTATCAAAAGTTATTAAAACAAGTGATTTAGTACTTGTATTTCTTAATTAAGGATCAAGTTGAAATTGGAAGTACCACTTTATCTCTAAAATGGACTAATCTGGTAGAGGGAATTATACCGTTATACCAACCAAAAAAATATATCAAAAGTCTTTAAATTTATTATTTTTTTTATGAATTGAAGCAAGCTAGAAAAGGCGTTTATTAGTGAAACTTATGCAATTTAATTGAGGAAGCACGGACAATGAAATAACATGTCTTTTGTTTCACTTTTCCCTGGCTTTGGATATTTTTAACTATGATGTAGTAGTACTTGTGGTTTACAAAGTTATAGTAATGAGATATATATCTTCAGGTAAAATCACGAGCCATGGAAATTGCTAAATTGATTGAGAACGAAGATGGTGTTACTGCTGCAGTTGATGCATTTCACCGCCATCTACCTCCTGAACTACCCCTACCACTACCAGTTCCACCTCCATCTCCAGTGGTGGAGGATCATGCAAATCCTTTGCAATGGTTTTTTCTCCACCTAGCAAAGTGGTGCAGTTTACCTTGTGGGGGTGTATAGTTTCTTTCTTTTCTTTTTTTGCTTTACATATATTATTTTTTCCTTCTTTTATTCATTAAATAACTACATTTTATAGGAGCTTTCCCTTTTTAAGTAATTGTAGCACATAGTTTTGCTTAATATTTCATTCATTTCAGTCAAAGTCTCTTTTGTGAGGGCTTGATGTGATAGTAATATTGAAGTTATGCTTTCCCACTCCCCAAATCCGTTTGTACAGGAGTTCTACTTCTGTTATCTTGTAAGATAGGTTGAGTTGAGGACACTTGTTATGAAAAGAATTGGGTTTCTTAAGTGGCATTTCTAACTTAACGAGTGAGAGGTTTTCTCTTATTATTTGATTTTTTTTTTGTCTTGTATAACAATGGAAATTTAATTAGAACTTGCCATCTGCATATGAGATAGAGGTCTAGGATGCACTATATTATATATCATATTACGTGTTTGATAATGATCTTGATATGTTTGGATGTTTTATGGTTTGTGCGAGTTTTCTTCACAACTTTGTTATATCGATGTGAAGTGAGATATATCTCGCTGTGTTAATTTTTTTTAAGGCTAATAACCAAGAAGTGAACAATAATTAATTATCCCAAGTAGTAAAATGAAAGAAGTTACTGTATTGAATTTTCAAGGGCTTGTGTAATCATTAATTAATTTAATTAGAAAAAAAGATAGATTTATTTGAAAAATGTAATAAAGATAAAAAACATTTTTTTAAGGATTTAGAATAATAAAAAGATTGAAAAAACAATTAATAGTTTAAAATAAAGAAGTGATTAATTTTATTAACTTTTTTTTACATGTGTTTTTTCCAATTATTTTTCAATTTTAGAAATTATTAAAGCTAATTCAGCAATTGACGGAAATATTTTAATTTTAATTACTTAAGTGAGAAATTCTAAGTTTCATAAAGAAAATCTTAATTTCTTGATAAAATTTGTTAAGTAATTCGCATTAAGATTAGATGTTTAAAATGTTGAGTAATAAAACATCTTATTGTTAATAATAAACGTTATTCTCTATATTGTAGTTTCAAAAAGAATTTTTATTCTTCAACCTTAATTAAATTTATGAGATTGTGCAATGGGCGATAAGTCAAAACAAACATTAAAAATAAAAGAAAAATAGTTTATTGAATAAGAATAGGAAGAATATGTGATTTAAATAGGTCAAAAATTATATTATTGTGATAGTTAAAAGACTAAAATTGTATAATTATAATTATTGATAAACTAAATTTGTTTAAATAAAATTTAGAGATTAAATTACACAATTATGATACTTGAGTTGAGGGACTAAAATTACTTAATTAAAATCTTAAAGAACACAAAATTATAATATTAAAGGAATAAAAATATAATTATAATATTAAAAATATGAAAATTTAGGTTAATCTTCCTTGCGATTATTTTTGTATTTTTTTTTTTTTAAAATATCCCGCTATTAAAAAAGAGAAACAAATAAACCGATTCTTATCTTAGTTGAATCTGCCGATTTGAACCAAGTTTTAAAACTATTAAAGAAGTACATCAACTTCTCTTTTTTACAATATTACCTAATAGAACCAAATGGAATATTACCTAATAATATATGATTAATGCAAAAATAAAAAATACATAATTTCAAGAATGTATTTGTTCCCAATCAATTATGAACTTGTCGACATTAGGCTTGACTTTTTTTTTAAAAAAAAAAAATAGGTCAATACTGTTATTAAAGCATATTTAATTAAAAAGTTAAATTTTAGATTATTTAAAAAGTTTTTTTTTCTAATAAGTTGACTTATTTAAATAAAATAAATATATTTATTACTATTACTACTACTACTACTATTACTAAATTGTTTAATATGTAAAATTTATGAATGTTAATTCAAAATTAAAATAGTCATTTACAATAATATCAAGTATAGTCTAAAGGTGGAGTACAATTGCAACACTCTAAATTTTTATTAATTTTTATCTTTTAACAATAATTATGTGTTGTCATGTTCTAAGGTGTGTTGTTGAGGGATATTTAGGATTAATGAATTCTTGATTTTTTTGGGAGAGGTCCAATTTGATCCTAAAGGGAGAAATATATAATGTTTCTTTTAAGAATTGAGTTTCATAAGTTTAGTTTTTAAGAAATCTTAGAAAGATACTAGAGAAGCTATTAAGTTCTCATTCTTCTTTGGTTGCTAGTGGATTGATTGCATGATTTAGATGTTAAATGGTTGCAATTATATTGTTGAGTTGCATGATTTTGAAGTTTGGTTGTTGAACATGGTGTAGTCATTTTCATAAAGAAGAATTTGATCATTTGTGATGATCTTTGATTGCATGTTGAGTTTCTTGCTGAATATGAGTTGTTGTTGGTGTATATATGTTGTTTGGTTCTTTGCATGCTTGAAATTTTCTAGTTTTTTAGGTGTCTTGAAGCCAAATTCGTGGTTTGCTAAGTGCAAAACTCATAGTTGCCTCAGACACGTCTTCATGGTGTCGAACATGATTTCAATAAAAGGTTCTCTACTTTACTCACATCAGAGATATGATTGGTGACATCGAGTGTGAGGAGAAAGAATTGTCTTTATCTGTATTGAGGTCAGGCATGGGACTTAGCCACACTAGGTGTGGGGGCCCAAGGGTTCCCTACCTCAACCATGTCAAATGTGGATTGAATGGTGTTGGGTGTGGATGAGGCAAAAGACTCTTTACCTCAATGGCATCGGACATAGGGTGGATAGTGTTGAATGTAGGTTGACTCATAATAATTTGTTGCTTATATGATTAATTGGCCAACATAGATAAGTTAGATGAATATATTGCATGTTGTATGTTAAAAAGTGTTATTAGTTCTATGTATATTGATTTGGGATAATATATATATATATATATATATATATATATATGTTTATAAATGTTTAAAATTGTTGAGGTGTGATGTCGAGAATGCTTTATATATTTAGGCATGTTGTGTTGATACATTGTTGAGGTGTGATGCTAAAAATGCTATAGGCAGTTAGACATGTTGATTAATTTATGACTAGAGGAGAGGTTATTTTTGAAAGTTGGATATCCCATTATGTGGATATTGGTGTGGTGCTCTATGAGTTCAATTGTTGAAAAACCTTCCATGAGTTGATGATATCTCTTGAAGTAGATTGTTGAGTCTCCTTTAGGATCTTAGTTGTTGCAATATTTGGGTCAGTTTGAGACATATCAACTATAAGTGACCAATGTTAATCTGTATGTAGATACGGTCAAGACATACATATATAAAGTAACCAACTAAGTAAAGTACAAGATTAGGGACTTATAGTCTTTAACTGAGTACCGAAGAGGCATAGTATTTCGAGAGTAGTCGATGGGATAATTCTATAGAGGGCTTAATGTTGCAAACTAATATCGTGATAGACTCATATCCAAATTGTTCTACCTTGATAGAAATAATAGACTTCCTAATTTAAGTGACGACATCTAAGAAACCATATTGTTAGGAATTGGTATCCCAATTTGGTTGTTGATTTAACATGTGTAAAAAAGTCATGTAGATTTGGTAGGATCAAGTCACTTATACTACTTATCATGTTGTAGGAAATCTTTGTACATGAATGTATAATGGCGCATTGCTTGAGGTATATGCATATGATATTGTGTGATTTATTGTTCATATGCTTGTTTAGATGGTTGAATGACATTGAGGTAGTAAAATATGATGCATCATATGTTGTAAATTGCTTACTTATGTAAGGGTGATGAATGTCATGTTAAGATGTTGGTGTGTTGATATGTTGTATACCATGATGTGTCTTATTGTTTGGTTTACATGTGATGGTTAATTTTATTTTAGTTATACTTCTATATCTGCATTATGCTGCTTTTGAAATCTAGTTTACTCGTGCATGTTTTCTTGGTGATTAGACTGTGATGATCATATTTTCATGTAAGCAAGGCAAGGTTAGGCTAGTGGAGTTGGCATTTTGAGGGTCATGTTAGATGGGAGATTGACAATGTAGCTAGAGGCTACCTTTGTATAAGTTTAGGTAGTGATGCTTGATTGACACTTATGAATCTTATTTCATAGTTATGAATTATATATATATATATATATATAGTTCTTTTTTATTATTTTTTTTAGGTTAAAAAGCCTATATAGCATGCTTTTATTTTAAAAGTATTTATTTAAATATATATATATATATATATATATTTATTAATACATATATTCAAGTGACATTAATATATTAATCCTAAGTATTTTAGTTATTTTTCTATTGTTATAGGTTGAGCCATTAAACATAGTGACAATAGTGGACTGTTACAACAATTCACAATGTTCTCAAAATTTACAAGAGAAAATTGGGAAACAAAATTATTTGGAGGTTGAATTTGTAACCTATAAGGTCGGGCCTAAGCCTTATTGTAGGGACAAGCACTCAGGGCCATAACAATGAGAGACCATTTTTTTTAAACTAAAAAATTGTATTATAATTTTTATATTATTTTATATTTTTTTAAGAAATTAAAATTATCATCTTTTTTTATATATTTGTTTTTATATTTAAAATATAAAGTGGTACAATTATAATGCCTTATTATCTTTATAGTTAGTTTTTTTATCTATTATATTTATAAAATTGTAAATTATATTTTTGATCCTCTAAAATTTTTCAAGTTTGATTATAGTTTCTCAATTTATTTTTGTCTTATTTTTATCCTTTTAATTTGTGCCATTGCCAGAAGCAAAACCGTGAGGGCTGCGGCCAAAGCAGACAATATCCACATGCGGGTTGCTGGGGTGTTACATTTGGTATCAGAGCCTGGACCCGGGCCGGTGTGCCAGCGAGGGCGCTGGACTCCCTTGAGGGGGGTGGATTGTGAAGTCCCACATCGGTTAGGAAGGAGAACGAAGCATGCCATATATATGGGTGTGGATACCTTCCTTGTGTGGACGCGTTTTGGGGTGGCATGCGTGCCATTGCCAGAAGCAAAACCGTGAGGGCTGCGGCCAAAGCGGACAATATCCACATGCGGGTTGCTGGGGTGTTACATTTGGTATCAGAGCCTGGACCCGGGCCGGTGTGCCAGCGAGGGCGCTGGACTCCCATGAGGGGGGTGGATTGTGAAGTCCCACATCGGTTAGGAAGAAGAACGAAACATGCCATATATGTGGGTTGCTAGGGTGTTACAAGATGCATTACTTTTGGTCCTTAAAGTTTATATAATATTTTATGATAGGTTATTGTATAAAATTAAATTGAATAAAAATATATTAGTATATCTATTTTAGATTTGTTAGCATTGTTATTTGTTTAAAGTAATAAAAAATGTTGATTTGATTAAAAGTCTAATACATTGTTTGGTCTATGAAGTTTTTGAAAATATTTATTAGGTCTCTAAATTAAAAAAATTATAATCGAGTCATTCATATTTTTATATATATATAATTTAATTTTTAGAAGTAGATATTTGTTTAAATTTTGTGAAATATGACATTTTTTATATTTTTATATTCGTAGAGTCACTTCGAATTATTATCATATATAATTGTACATGTCTAATGAATTTTAATCTATTTATAAAAATTTTCATAATTTCTTTAATCATAACAATTCTAATATAGTAGAAAATTTTAACTAATAAAATCTAAAACCTAATACAAATAAATGATGATATTGAATTGGTAATTTAATATAATTATCTAAGTAAAAAAAAATAAAAAATATTATGTCAAATTAAATATCATAAATTATAAACCAATCTCTAATTGTAGTGACTATGTTATAAAATATAAAATGCCAAATAATAAGTTTTTTAATATTATTTATACATAAGGATCCAAACTTATTATTTTCCTCAAGATTCATGAAATATCATGATCGAATATGATGACCTAATAAAAGTTTGATGATATAAATACAATTAATTAAGTTTAATGCTTATGTTATCATTTCATTTATATTTTATGATATATATATATATATATATATAATTTGTAATATTCTTAAAATTCAAAAGCAAAATCTAACCAAAAAAAAAATGAGGATAAAATTCACAAATTTAAAAACAATGCAATTAAACTAAACAAATAAATAACTCCTAAAAGAGTTCTGGTCCAGTGAATTAGCCCCAAATTTTGAGATATTGAGATGACATAAAGATACATTCTGTTTTTGTTTCTTATACTACACGTGGGTCTTGCTTGTAACATCGCTTTGGAACGTGGCTTGGCATGGTGTGTATGTGATGTATGATGTTTTGTCTGATTTTATTTTTCAACGAAATAATTTGACTTTGAAAAAGTATAAAGATTCAAGAACAAATTTTATTTTATTTTTTATATCCAAATCAAAAATGTCGGTGTCAAAACGAAATCGAAATGTGCTTTACAATTTTATATTCTCCGACTTTTATTTCACTCTATCCTCGTTTCTCACGAGTTTTAACTTTAAATAGTATGTTTAGTTTAGGAAGATAATAAAAGGAAAAAATGAAAATAAAATAATTTTAGAAATTATTTAATAAGAAAGAAAATTAAAACATTTTTTTAATTTTATTTTATTGTGAAGAAAAGTCATATTTTATTTTGCAAAACTATTTATTTTCTCATTTCCTTGACTTCTGGAATATGATTTTAATCATTGATGTGAAAACCTTTTTAGTAAAACCTATTTAAGTATTGAGATATTTGTCTTAATCTTTGGTGTCTAAGACCCATTTCACCCATATTTTTAATTACCCCCAACAAAGAAAATTCTTCCTTCTTAAAATGGAATCAAACTACATAAGAAATAAATATGATGAGTTTTATTCTCATTTCAGAAGAAAAGGAGAGAATATTTATAGTTTTTTTTTTATATAAAAATGATCTAAATAGCATCCCAAAATAAACAACTAAAAACTAATATGTGAAACTTTAGTTAGTTAATTATTATTTTAATATAGACAAAAATAAAAAAAAGGAGAGAATGTTTATATATAAATAAAGAGAAAATTGTTCTTATTTTAAAACATACAGGTGCATACACTCAGGCACACACACTCTATTTACTAATTATATATAATTTAACATATAAAATTATTATATTTAGGATAAATTATAGTTTTAATGTGAAATTGACAAAAATTAGAAATTAAATTTATAATGAAATTAACAAATTTAAGAACTAAATTAATAAATTATCAAGAAATTAACAGGTTTAATGATTAAATTAAAAAAAAAACCAATTCATCATGAAATTGACATGTAGATATTAAATTTTACACACCGTAATTTTTAATAATTAAATCAAGATAAGCTGTTACTCTTATAAACAAAATTATATATACATTTCCTCTATTTTCTTTTCTCCAGTACATTTGAAAAGAAAAAGCAACAAAGCAACTATACAAAGAAAAAAACTAAAAACCTAATTAGATTCCCTGGGCAGTGAGCACATGTGCATGAATTTATTAAACCTAAAAATTAGGAAAAACAACATTAAATTACCAGTTTTTAAACCCCAAGCGTGTGGTTCAGCGGTAGGGGTTGATCCACACTTAAGCAAGGTCAGGAGTTCGAATCTTGCCTTGTGTATGCAGCCGTGTTAAATCTTGGGGCCAGCTATCCCACCCTTTGAAATGCCTCCAACGTAGCGAGGAAATTAGTCACTGCTGACGGCGATGGATACTACAGGGACGAACCAAAAAAAAATTACCAGTTTCTAACCGCGCATATGATACAAATCTAGTTTTTTTAATCAAACAAAGAAAATATAATTACAACTTTATAAACGAGACTTCACTTACAATCAGCTACAAGCTAGTAGTATAAATCAATAGAGAGAACCTTACGAATCTATACTGTAGTTGCATCTAGTTCTTGTAAAATTGTTAACTAAGAAATAATCAAACTAAAACTTATTTTTGAGTTGTAATAAACCCTCTAACAGAAAAAAAAAAATCTCTATGAAATCATACTTTATATATCGTATTTCAATTCAAACATGTCTTTCATCAGATCTTTTGACAACTTCAACCCTTCCTTCCAAGTCATAATTGGGATTCGGGAAGAGCAATGATATCTGAATAAACGATTATCAAATGAGTAATGTTATGGCCTCCGAAATCAGAGGCCGAAAAACATTCCGAACGTTTAAAAATTATTATTTTTTTAATAAATTTATTATAAAATTATTATTTTATAATAAATTTATTAAAAAATAATAATTTTTTTAATGTTCGGACAATTTCTCAGCCTCCATTTTTCGGAGAATACAACATTCTCCTTATCAAATAATGACTAGCTTAATTTAAACAATGTTAATTATGATATTTGCAAAAAAGAAATATAGAATAATAATATCTGAATAAAAAATTATCAAATAATGGCTAAGTTAATTTGTACAAATATTAATTATTTTATTTATAAAAAAATATTTATAAAATTTTTATTTGTACAAATGTTAACTATGTTATTTATAAAAAATATATTTATAAAATTTTTATGTCAGAATCAAATTTGGTGATTAAAGTCTTCTTTAATTTCTCAATAATAAAATAAAATTAAACTCGTGAACGTATTATTCTAGATCAAAACAAATTGATATGAGCTAATTTTTTCATCCTCATATCATGAAAGATGAAAAAAGGAAAAAGATAAACCTTTTAATCAAAGATCAATATTATATTTTTAATTTGTTCATATAATCGTAATTAGAAATATTATTTTATTATTATAAGAGTCAACTTAATAAGAATGAGTTATCCTCTTTTTTATAATAAAAATAAATTATTTATCAATTTTATGAATATTTAATTTTTTTCAAAAAATATGACTGTCTACTTTTAACAAAGTTTATTTTCTCAATTACTTTTAATGCATAAAATTTGAATCTAACATCGAACTTAAAGAAATCATTTCATTCAAACTAAATTATAAAAAAAACAACTAAAGTTAATTGATTCCAACCTAACAACATATATAAAATATAAAAAATAAAAAATAAAATTGGTCTAAACTTCTAACTCCTGGGGCATAATGGTTATATTATATAAGTTAATTTTCTATACACATATTATTAGTGTAAAATTTTTTACACTAACAACCAATCATATTTTTTAAATTATTTTATTTTGTTTTTATTTTATTAAATAAATAATTGATATAATATTAGTAAAAAAATATAATTGGTTATCCGTATAAAATAATTTTAGACTAATAGCATATAAGTGATTATCTTCTATTATATTATATAACAAACAATTGAGTGTAAAAGGAGCTATTAAAAAAGGCAAGTACATGATTTGAGTCATTCTATAATATTTTTATACATCAATTGATCTGCGTCTTTTTCCATGTTTCTTTCCCAACTTCATCTCTTTGTTTAATCAAAGTTAACAATATAATATATTTATCATTTTCCATAATAGAAGAGAGAGAAGAATGATAGAGGCATATATCGTAAGGCGTGATAGATATCATCATGTCATCTTATATTTGCAGCTTTTTATATAGAACTGAAAGTTAAAGATGCAATATCCACTTGATCACATTTGAAGCTATAAAAACAAGATCAGTCAAATTAATTAATCTTGCTATAAAATATTAGAAAATTAAAATTGTCAATATACCTACTAATGTTGCCCAAGAGACACAAGCATCATAACCATTTGTAAACACTGTTACAAAATTAATTGGTTAAAGGTTTAATTATATTTTGTGTTTCCAATTTTTTTATTTTGACAAATTTTGTCTATAAATAATTTTCTTATCTTGTGTTTGCAAATTTTGAGTCTATGATGATTTGTGTCAAGTTTTGAAAAACATAATTTACATATGAACAAAATTCGTCAAAAAATTAAAGTTTACAAAGAGTGCAAAGTAGAATCAAGCTTCAACCAAATCACCCAAATTTTGACATTGGGGTTTTACAATTCCAATAAACACAAACTAGCACACTTCAAGTAAAATTAGATATTCATTACAACATTAGAAGACAAATGGTATGACAGCCTTAACATGCTTAGGAAAATCTTCAAACTTAGAAACATACCATTTCCTAGTTGAGTAACTCCTCCCAAGCAAGTAGAAAGTAGTGCCCACAGCAAAAGTGAATGAATATAGTGTCTGAGAAATTAAGGACATCCCCCAAAACACCATAATCTCAAAAAGGTAGTGGGGACATATCACAAGCTCAAACATGCCACCCTTTGGAATCTTGTATTCCTTTTCACCCTTTCCCCTTAATTTGGAAAGAAGGTAGTGGTGGTACAAGTTTCCAATGATGCCAACTAGAAACAACACAGTGCCAGGGTAGAATAGATTGATTGGTGGTTCTGGAAGCCCTTGTGTTAGGTGTTGAGCATAGGTCATCATTGCAGCTGATTGGAAATAACTCAGAGTGATGAGGATTGCAGAGTCAAGAAGCATGCCCCCACTATATTTGTGAATAAATAGAACCTATACACATTAACAACATTCTTATTTGAGATGAAACTCAATAGAAGAACAAGAGTATGACACTATGGGTTGTTTAATGTTGACAAAACAAGAACAGTATCATCATCCCATGATCGTGGACTGCATCAGACCACATCAATTGCATTTGTAATTTCCCGCAATATCAAGGACCAGAAAGTATGATCACAATTTAAATTAAACTTTGTTCTTTGCTATTAATTAATTATATAATAAAACCCTGTTGCAAGTTATTAAATTCCAAGGTTTTAATTTGTGATTACAATTTTGTCCAAATCTCTGATATTGTGAAGAAATATAGACACTAATATTGTTACAATTGTAGTTGTGCAGACAACAAAAAGCTTATCGTTGCAGTGGATCAACTTTTAGAACCTTGCTAAATTCTAAAATTCATCATCCTAATTCCTAACAAAATATCAAGATGGATTTTACAAATGAATGGAAACAAAAAATGAAAAATTATTACAAAAACGAAAAAAGAACAATTTTGTAGTAAAAATTCTCCTAATATTTATTTCACCATAACCCAATGGATTGATTATTGCAAAATACTTATAGCCAAGAAGTCCACCCAGAAATAAGTTGTATGAGGGTAAAAACAGGAAGAAAAAAAAAAAGAAAGACAGATTGAAAATAGGTATATTAAGTAGAGGGATGAAAAATATAAGAGAGTTATAGAATGAAAATGAAATAGGAGATAAGGAGAGAAGCCTTAATTATTTCTTCCATATATATAATCTCACTGATTCTTAATTCTAAACCTAGTAGATATATTTTTCTAATTAATAGAAAATTATAATGTAAAGACTAGCTTTATCATAAACAAGTGTTATTTTACTTGCCTCAAAGTCCCTTTTGAAGTAATGCAGAGTAACAGCAGATTTAAGGACAGTGGACCTGACACCTTCATGAGGATAGATCCAGAAGGATGCAAGAGCTGCTAGAAAAGCAGGAGTATACAAGAGAAGCATGCCAGTTTTACTTGACAACTTTATCTGCCTTTGTCCAGAGGGATTAGCATTCCAAAACTTTGAATAGTTCAAATGCTTCCCTCTTACTTCGGACAAGAAAGCATTCATCAGTATCATGAAGCTTATCACTGTCATGCCCGAAACCACCAATGAAGCTGGCGGTGGGAACATGAAGTTCAACAACACAGACATCACCATGTTGCTGTTTGCTATCCTCTCTTATGACCCTGTTTCTCCAACCTGGCCAAAAACACGCATCATGGTGATACTTATATAATCGGATTTTGATCCTCTGTTAAAGATAATTATGTAGTGGGATCCACATCTACATAATGACTCCAACACGTTTTTACAAAGCACTTCTTACATATGCATGTGACACTTCTCAATTGCATCATAATTAAATTTTTTATTTATTTATTGAATTCCTCTCGGATATATCTTTGATACTTCTTTTTTTTACATGATTTATATACAAATTAAGAGAATAGTCTAACAGTTTTTCATTTTATCACAATTAAAAATTATTTTTTTATCAAATATCTTTATTATATATTTTTAACACTTTTTAACACGACTTAAACATAAGTTAAGGGAGTGAATTAATATTTTTTTTAATTAAACATTAATCTAACACTTCTATTTTTTTAAAAAAAAATAGAAAGATAATTTATTTATAAATATTATAAGGTTCGTAACATTTTTTAATCTGTTGTAAGGTACTTGTTTTAAATTTTAAGAAATGTGGTTCATTTTCTAAAAGTTATTTTCAAATAAAATTTGTAAAACATATATATATATATATATATTATCTCTATGTCTTACATTTTGGATATTGATCGTATTTTAGTATCTATGTCTTTGTCGTGTTTGATGTTCATGTTAGAGTTGATGTTTCAGTCACGACACTTATTTTGTAACATCTTAAATTTCTTAAAATTATTTAAAAAATATATTTTAATTAATTAATTAAATAGATTTTATAAAGATGTTAAATGCTTTCTAAATAACTACGAGTGTTTTTGTTAATTAAGAAAAGGTATGTGAATTTATTTGTATTATTAATTATTAGAGATAAATATATATTTTGTATTTTTTAACTTATTTTAATTATATATTATGGTTTTAATTAATTGAAAAAATTTATATAAAGAGTAATGCATTTAATTAATAAAGATTTTAAATAATTATCTAATCGGAATAGATAAGATTTAGGTGGAGGGTAATTGAGAATATTTTATTTTCTTATCTAAAAGGAACATTTTGAAATTAATTAATTATTATGAATTATCTTTTAAAGAGAGGAGAAATTAGTTGTGGTTAACAGACTTTTATTGATGGGTTATGCAAGGGTTAGGGTTTAGTGTTTCCTATTTATAAATTAGTAGTCTTGGGCTGCCTCTCATGATTAACACATATTCTTATGCCCTAAAGATGAGAGAGTGACTCATCATTGAAAGAGAACAATAACAAAACACGTAAGAAAAGAGAAGAGAGAAAATTGATTGTTTGGTTTGAATATCCACCAAACAACGATTTTCAAATTACAACTATATATTCATTCACTATTAGATTAGGCTTATAGAACATGATTATTTGTTTTCAAGGGTTGGATCGTGCAAAAAAGGTTTGGAGTGAAAGAAAAGTGTTTCACAGTAAAAGCTCAACTTTTGGGGGTTTTCATCTTCTTACTTCTCATTGAGGAAAGAGAACCAAAGGCAGTTGGAGATGATTTCAAAGATCCTCATCTGACGTTTGGTGTTCATCGAGGTAAAGGGGAGTGAGAAACTCACTCCGGGTGTGGGTTATCTATAGGTTAGTGGGATTGAGCCTCAATCCCATTGTTTGTGTTTGAATGTATGATGGATTAAACCAAAAAATTGAATGTTTTTGTACATTGAATTTGTCTTCCCTTGCCTTTTAATTGTATTGTTATGATATAATTGTGCTTATGATCTATGATATTATTTTTGTTCATAAATTTTATTGTTTGTGAATTCCCTTGTATTATGAATGCGTTAGTAAATTGTAATTATGCTTTTAATTTGTAGAATTGTCTATATTTGTAAATCTGTGAGTGCCTATGGTTTATGGAGAACCTTAAGGACTAATACAAAGCAAATTATTATAGAAACAATTATGAATAGAGAACCCTTAGAATAGAATGAATTAATTGGACTATAGATACCCTTTGTTTAACATGAATTTGTGTAAGTTGTGAGACTTAAGTGATAGTGATTCTTAAATTATGTAGAATGAGATTCTACTGGTACCACGTTGGACACCACATTGGGCCACTAAGTGCGAAGGCAACAAAGTGTCCTTTATGCTTGCGACATTGTTGTCACCTGGCATGACCTTGGTCATGTCGGGTGCAAGAGCTCTAGGGGCTCCTTATTATTAATTCGTTGGGTAGAGGATAAACCATGTCGGGCCTGATTCATCTAGAGGCTCTTAGCCTCAACTATGCCAGGTGCAAGGTAACCCACGTCGAGCGCTACCTTATGCTTAAAACTGAAATGTTTTTACTTGCTTAAGGAATGTGAATGACTTTGATAGGTAGACCATGTGAACTAATTATCATTTGTAAGTGAAAAATGTGTGTTTAAGGGTGTATTGTAGAATAGTGAGAATGTGTGGTATGTTAATATGAAGTCTTGAGATATGTGACAATTGATAAAAATGCAAGTGATATTGTGACTAAGTCTAAGTTTAACTTAGTAGTGTGAAAATTCTAGATGATTAGCCTAACAGAGATGCGATTAATGTGATGTGAAACCATATATGTGTGTGTGTGAATTGTGAATGTCATTAGTGTGCACATGCATAAAGTTTGTGTGATATGTCTCATGTGCATTATGTTTTTTGTGATAGGTACGATGTGAAATACGCTGTCAAGGAAGACCTTCCTTGTGTAAAAGCTTGGAGATTCATGACCTTAGGGACAATTGGGTTTGGGAGTCTTAGTTTCATTCGCTTGTATGAATGGGATGAAACTTGTGTGACATATTTGTTCTAATGCACCATTGATGTATTTTCTCCTAGCAGAGAGTGTTGTAATTGCTTGACCTAGCATGTTCTCCTAGCCTATTCATGTCTTCAGGCTGTGATAAAGTGATTTTATTGGCACCACATGCATATAGTTTTAGGAAAGTTTTGTCCATTGCATGATCATAACATACTCATTGTTTTTGACTTATGAATTGGATAAATGTTGAGATGTGTGGTATAAACCTTGTTATATCTTAACTAGCATGCTTTGGTTATTGAGCATTATAAATGTGATTAATGATAATTGTTGTTGTTTTAAATGTATAATTATTGTTATGTATGTTTGTAGCTACCTGACCATTTTCTACACTAGTAATCGAAGTGAAATTTTTTTTACTCCCTTTTTCTTTTGGTGTTTTTTTTTGTTGTATATGTGCAGGTGAATTTGATAATGTTGGAGGAGAAGTTTAAGTCTTCTATTGGAATACTTTGATAAAATGTGAGATTGTGGTAATAGTTAGGAAATCGTTTCTTCTAGTATTTGCATTAAGAGTTTAGACTTATTAGTTGGAGTTTCTTTAATACCAAGTTTTAATTTCTTGCAATTGCTTCCAGGTTTAGTTTGTTAAATGTTGAGTTTCATATAATGTGATACTTCTACATTGAATTTTAGTTTATTGAGAAAATTAGCATTATATTTATTTGATTTTTATGCATATGGGATAAAGGGTGTCACATGTTTGATATCTATGAGAAGAAGAGAAAATGGAGAAAAAAAAATAAGGGACTACCCTTATTGAGTTATTTTTGAAGATAAATTAGTCCAAACTCTTTTAATCAACTAATGTATCCCTAAAATAAAAAAATAAAAAAACTAATCTTTTAATATTGGGATCTATTAAAAGTGTTCATTTTCATGTTATGAATTAGTTTTTAAAATTAAGTAAGTATAAATTCAAATTCTAACGTAATTAAAAAGAGTAATAAAAAAAATGTCACAAGTGATTGATTAAAAAGAAAGAAAATGACAAAAATAAAATGAAATTGAGAAGATAAAAGAAAAGAAAAAAAAAAAGAAATACTATCCATGATTTTATAAATAAGAAAGTTACATGAAATATAGGAACATTTTTAAATTTATTAATTTTTTAATTAAGAGTCTATTAATAAAAATTATTTATTTATAATAAAAGTGAATGTATTTATTATGAATATGATTGGATTCTAATTTACTAACAAAACTTATATAGTCCACATCGCACAAGCCCAACAGAGTTATGATCTCTCCCTTTATTTTGTTTCTTTCGAGTTGCACCACTGGCCCAATGTTATACAACTTAACCCAACTACCCGTTATTTCTCCTTCTCCAATAAACCCTAGATCCACGTAACAATTCACTTGAAATCGGACCCCAATACAAAAATTCTAGTGTTCCCCTTTTAAATCCCTTACCAAAGGAAGAAAAAACATGTTGGGTCCCAAAATTTTTCAAAGTTTAGGCACAATTGCACAACAATTTCCATATCTCTTGGTTGGCAAATCTTGTGTACCCCAGCCCCTTCTAATCCCTTTATAATCAATCTCCCTATCTCTTGACAAAGTAGGTCAACTCACCTAATGTGGAGTGAGCAGATTGACCCATCAAAGAAACGAAGTTAGACGAGTTGCCCATCAAAGAAAACGAGTTGAAAAATGTAACTCACTCTACTTAGTAGTGGGTTGACAGGTTGACCCACTTTAGTTAGTTAGTGGGTTAAAAATGATAGGTTGACAAGTTGACCCACCTACAATCTATCTAATTTTTTTTTAAGAAAATCTTAATTAAAATATTTTAACATACATTACCACTTCAACCTATAGTTTTATTATTATTTATAAAATTTATTAGAGTGATTATATTTTTTATGTAAAGACTCAAAATAATATATATTTCTATTAAAAAAGACACTATATATGGAAATGTACTAGTAAAAAATATATAATCAAAATAATATATTTTTATTTCATATAAAATAAGAATAATTACATAGAAAGAGGAGTTAAATTATAAAATTAAAACATTAATCTAATATAAATTCACTACAAATTTATCTTTTATATAAAATAAAACAAAGTGGATTGAATAGTTGACCCATTAAGTTGACAGGTTGAACTCGCTTGTTAAGCAGGACGGATTGGTAGATTTATTTATACAATTCAACCTATCAAAAATAGGTGAGTTGGCGTGTTAATTCACCTATTTCTACCCACGTTATCATCCCTACATAAGCTTATTTGATAAGATCTTAATTAAGTTAGTTATCCAAATGTTTTTTTTATTTATTTATCATAAAATACTTTTTAAAATAAATTTTGTCTTTCAAGATTTTTTTTTTTGAAGTATTTAACAAAATGTTCTCTTGATTTCTCATTGATCAATACAGGAAAGAAAAGTATCCAATATCATATCCAAAATTGAGAACAATTCATGAAATCAAATAGCAAGCTTAACTAATGCTATTAATCACAAAGAAGCACATTTTCCGGCACTCATACCCATTAATATTAAGCACATAAACCCAAATTCAACATTACCATATGAAGAAAAACTAGGAATGATGATAGGCGGAGAAAATAAAGGTAATATTGGTGTAGGTAGTAGTCTCACATTATCAACTGTTTAATATGAGTATTCGGATATTTATCAATTTCTTATATATTCTTGGGAACTCAATGGTATTTGTGAAATTTTGTTAAAATATAAAGTTTTAAATAAATATGTGAGAAATAAAATAAAATAAAATAATTTTAAAATATATAATTTTATATTAAAAATCAATTTAATAATATATATTTGTACTAAAATATGTTTATAGTAAAAATTAATTAAATTAAATATCTTTATATAATATTTTTAAAATGTAGATGCTTACAAATTTGAATACTTTATTATCTGTTTCTATCTTATTATTAAACGAATATCTATTTAACCATCCATTGAAAATCTAAAATGAATTTTATCCACAAATTTGTGAGTATATATGATTTTTTTTTTTCATTCCTAAACAAAATGATCTCAATTTGCGAAAGAATCATGTTATGGAGAGTTTTGAATTTGGCACAATATGGAGAGTTTTGAATTTGGGACAAAAAATGAAGAATGATGGGACATACACATTTTTATAGTGATACAATACATGTTGTTAAAAATTATTTTTATCTACATAATAAATACATACAATATATGTTAGTATATTGTTAAAAAAGTGTAAGTACAGATTATATGACACATAAAATATGTTATTAAATCTCATTCAAAATCAACATTAAAATTATATATAATTAAATGTCAAATAGATATATATTTGCATATATTGTACTTATAATAATATTTTTTATGTGATTGCACATAATATTTCTTGTAGTAACTACATTAAACTTTATATTCTCCTCAATGTGAGTTTACCTTTCCCCTTTAAAGGTTGATGTCCACAATGACTTTCACTCTATTAACATTCCTTTTCTCTTTGACAGCTTTACTCACATAACCGTTTTTGGTTTACATCTTAATCTAGCATATAGGTAAATTTTTTCGTAGCTCAACTCTCAACGAAAGCGCTATTTTTTTTTAAGATTTGGATATATGAGAAAAACAAAACCAAAAAAAATTAGTCAATTAAGTGAGAGAACTTTGATGTTTAAGTACTATATTGAACTTCATATTTTACTTTGTATAAGATTCTTAACACACACCCAACAAAAGAAAGAAGCAATATTTGGAGAATAAACAGTTGTGATAATCAATAAATAAAAAATTATAAATATACGTGTTTATATCACCATTATTAATTGAATATTGATTAACAAATGATGGAAGGAACTTGAAGAGGATTGTTGTTCTTCAAGAAATTCACCGTCCAATGACCTTGTTCCTTGAGGTTGAACACTTGAAAATGGCGGAAGCTCCTTGAAGAAAACTCCAATGGAGGAGAAGCACCAAAGAGAGGTTCGGTTAACTCTTGAAGAAGTGAAGAAGCTTAAGGAACCAAACTTCTAGGTGAAGAACTTTTGAGAGAGAACTAAGAGAGAGTTCTCCACGGAATATGACTTTTGACATTTATGAGACTTAGAATTCAGAAATTCTCTCTCATTTCAAGAGTCCAATTTTGTGGAGAATCTCCTTCTCCTTAAAGCCTCACAAAGGAACTTCTCTTTTGTGCTTGGTTCCTCAAGTTTCTCTCCTTCAAGAGAAACTAAACCACCTTGGAAAGTATCTTCAAGCTTTTGAAGCTTGAACTCATCCAAACCTTCCATTGACGTGAAAAATCTCAAGAGAAGAAGGGACTTAGCATAGTTCAACTTGAAGAAACATCAATCTTCTCCAAGTAGTTCCATCAACAAATTTATGATATAAATTCTTATTATTTCACATGGCAAGTTTGTAACTTCTAAATATCGAAAAGATCCTTTGTTGTTAAATATTTTAATGTATCCTCTTCACTAAAAAAATATTTTTATTTTTATGACATACATTATGTAATACACGCACATAAAGTATATTAACATAATGATTTTCAGTAAACTAACGTAGAGCAGATTTAAAAATTAGATACAAGAAAAGGCGAAACTTATTTATTTATTTTACAACTTAGGCTAAAAAGTAAGGAGATGAAAACCAAAGACAACGATAATCAACTAAATCTTATAATTTTCATTTTCTAAGTAAAGTCTAGATTATTTAAATAAAATTTCGGATTTAAATTTTTTAATGAAAAATTTGGTTTGAGAGGAGAGATTATTGATTGATAAATACCTCATACATATAATATGATTATAAAAAAAATATAAACATCATCTCATATTTGTATTCATCATTTTTTTTTATTGTTACCGATAACTTTAAATACTCACAAATCTATTTTTTAATGAATAATGTTAATGATTGATTTCCTTTATGAGAGAAAAATTTAATAATTACAAAATATAATTTAAATTATCAATATCTCTCATTAAAATTATATATATATATATATATATATATATATATATATATATATTTAAGTTAATTATATGTAAATGTAAATATATTTACAATGTCACACACACATATTTCAAAAGTAAGTTTTGATACACTTATCCCACTCAATAACTCATTTTCACTCAATAACTCATGTTTTACATAAAATTTCAATTATCCAAATGTTAAATATAAAATTCTTAACGTATGTATCAATTTTTTAAATTAAAAAAATTGAGTATTATATAATTTTAAATTATTAAAAAAATTGTAGACTTGATCTATATATTAAAAAAATTTAATTTAACTATTGAATCATTAAAATTTGATATAAAATATAAGTTATTGAATGAAATAAATTTACCAAAATTTATTCTTGAAATAAGTAGATTCCTATCTCTATATATACATATCCTCTCCATTTTTTTCATTTCTAAAATTGAGAGTATAGATATCACTCTCCCTAAAGTGTGTATCATCTTCACTTTAATTATTTTTCCAAAAGTTTAATTATTTTTTCAAAAATTTATGAAATGGAAAAAATTGACATTAAAAAAATGGAGAGATCCAAAGATTGTTAACAATTAATGGAAATATAGAAGGAAAAAGAAGAGTAAGAAGAGAGTTCATGAAGAGAAAATGAGTTGTCCATTGCAAATGAGTATAAAACCGACAATATAGAATATGTAATGACGACAAATGAAAAAGTCTAAACTAACCTTAAGAAGAATATATATAATAAGAAAAATAGAGCTTCTACCATGAACCATCTTCACATGTGCCTCATGGGTGAGGCAGTATAAATAAGAAAAACAATAATATTTTAATATGTACTTAACGTTTCCAAATAAAATTCTAAAATTGTAAATTTGATTTATATGAATGTTGGTTGTGTTAATTACGAAAATAGCCTCCAACTCAAAAAAAAAATGGTTTAAATGTGTTTTTATCTAGAATAAATTTGTTTCTAGTCTTTAAATTTAAAACTGTTATTTTTAAATCTTATAATTTTTAAAAATCTTATTTTAATCAATTAAATCAACAATAATATATATGAAAGTGATAGATTGAAATAATTATACAAAAGTTGAATTTAATATGATATTTTTATTAATAGGAATACCACCAATAAATAAATCTTATGTGATAGCATTTGATAAATTATCTTACAAAATGGAATTACAGGATTATGAAGATTAATTTTAAATTTAAAAAATCAAAAATAAATTTATTTTAAATTGGAGGAATTAAAATAATATTTAAATAAAAAAACATTAATATAATTTTTTGAACCCTACCTCATATGGTTGATCTCTTTGAGGGAAGTGAGCGTTGAATCCCCAATGCTGCTGCTTGTCGGAACGAGAGTGAGAATTTTCAAATAGTTTCTTTACCACATGATAATGGTGATGACTTTACTTTTTTTTTTCTTCTTATACTTGGTGATTCATATTTGTGAATTGAAACAATGTTTAACATGTTAGGAAAGATTATTTTGATGAGTTAATTAAATAATTTTTTTAAAAAAATCAATAGACAAAACTGATTTTGTCCGGAGGCGGAGGCAGCATGCAGAGATCCACGTACGGGCTGCATCACCTTACCAAACCCCAAAAATACTGTGGCCCCATAGAGAAAACCTTGCACATGGTTAACAATTTTCTTTTTTTTATAAAACTAAAAAAAAATAATGACAAAAATGTAAATTAAATACGAACAATCTCCATGTTTAAATTTAACTGATACATCTAATGATCGAAAATCATTTAAAACATATGACACATCTAACTCTACTTCATTTTCCTAAGAAAAAATATATCAAAAGATACATATTATTCAACACCAATAAAGACAATGTAGCACACCTATCTATACCTAAAATAAATTAGTTGTTCCTATCCAACTAGAAGACAAACGGGATGACAGCCTTAACATGCTTAGGAAAATCTTCAAACTTAGAAAGATACCATTTCCTGGTTGCATAACTCCTACCCATCAAGTAGATAGTTGAGCCTAGAGTGAAAGAGAATGGATAAAACGTCTGAGATATGAAGGAAACCCCCAAAAAGCCAATAATCTCAAAAAGGTAGTGGGGGCATATGACAAGTTCAAAGCAGCCTCCCCTTGGAATCTTGTACTCCTTTTCACCCTTTCCTCTTAATTTGGATAGAAGGTAGTGGTGGTACAAGTTGCCACTGATGCCAACCACAAACAAAACAATGCCAGGATACACCAGATTAATTGGTGGTTCTGGGAGCCCTTGTGTTAGGTTTTGATCATAGATCATGAGTGAAGTTGATATGAAATAATTCAGACTGATGGTGATTGTAGTGTCCAGTGCCATGCCCCCACTGTATTTGTGAATAAACAGAACCTACACATGAACGACATGCTTAATTCAGCTGAAATTCAATAAAAGAACAATAGTAAGAGTCTGATTGAGTCCACCTTAAAAATGTTTAAGATCTTTCTATTAAAAATTAAAAAAAATATTTTTAATAGAAATACGCTAAAAAATACTTCTAAATTTGTATCTAAATAAACTCTAAAGAGTTATTTAGTGTTAACAAAACAAAAATCAATTATTTCTAAAGTCAATACACAATTTTGATTCTTTTATAGTCGGTATTTGATAGAAATCTTGTAACAATTCATATTTAAAATTATATTTGAGAGTTTCCCTATTAAAAATTAAGAATTTTTTTTAATAGAAAACTCTTCAAAGTCTTTATCTAACCAGACTCTAATTACCCTTAAACAAGATTTCGATTTGAGTGTAACAGATGAAAAAAAATAATTGAACTAAACTCTACTAAACATAACTACTAATCATGGAAAAAGTTATACTAGTGTCTTTAATATTTCGTCATTAACCTAATGGGTATCTTTTGTGTTTATGGTAGAATGTGAGAAGGCAAGTGATACTTACCTCAAAGAGCCTCTTGAAGAAATGGAGAGTAAGAGCAGATTGAAGGAGGGTGGATCTGAACCCTTCATGAGGAAAGATCCAGAAAGATGCAAGACAAACAAGAAAAGCAGGAGTGTAAGACAGAAGCATGCCAACTTTACTTGACAACTTCATCTGCATCTTTTCAGTGGAATTCGCATTCCAAAACTTTGAATAGTTCATATGTTTTCCTCTTATTTCGGATAAGAAAGCATTGCCAACTGACACCAAACTTATCACTGACATGCCCCTAATCACCAGAGACGCTGAGGCTGGAAAAATGAAGCTCAACAACACAGACATCATCACCATGGTGCTTTCTCGAGCCAAAGAAAACACATGGTGACTGCACCTATATAACCCCATATTTTTGTTATAATAGTAGTGGTGGGGTCCACATCTAGTTGTTCATGGAAAAAAAAATAAAATAGATCTAGCTATTTATTTATATAAGTATTTATGTATTTTATTATGTAAATTTCTTAACGTTGTAACAACTTTTTCTCTAAAAAAAAATCAATCTAAATTAGTAGGTAATTCTGTATAAAAGAATTATAAATACATTAATCTTATTTTATAAAATTCTTAATGTTGAATAATTTTTTCTCTAAAAAAAAGTTGGCCCGAATTGGAGGACAATTCAGTCCATTTTTTTTACTATATAAAAGGATATTATAAATATATTAATAATACAATTTTATATAAAATTAGTTGCAATTAATTATGAAATGAATTTATAAACAAGATTTACGTCAAAATTAATAATAAGATTTACAATAGTTTTTCTTATTTTAAAAATTATATATATTTATTTATATATTTATCTCTGATTTTTTTTATCAACAAAACTACAAAATAATATTAATAATTAAGATAGTGATAGTTGAGAATATTAATGCTTCAGAATTTATTGCAACAAATTAATCAATAAAATTTATTTAAAATTAAATAAATATAATGGATATTGACCAAATTTTGTATAATTATTATTGTCTATAATTTCATTCAATAATTAATTGTAATTAATTTATAAATAAAATATTATTAATATATTTAAAAAATGAAATTAATTACAATTAGTAATATTTTATTTAAGTTGGAAGTAGTAATAAGATTTTATTATTATTATTATTATTATTATTATTATTTTCAACTTAAATAAAATTAATAAATTATTGAGATTATATATTTATACCAATATATAAAGGTGATTAATTATTTTTGCATATACAATTCTTAGAACACTTTTACCTTTTATTATTATGGTAACTGCACACTTTTTTCTTTTAATATAGGATAGTTTGATAATTTTATTTTTTTAATTTAAATAAAAAATTTGGTTGTAAATAAAAATTATTATTTATTAAAAATAAACTGCATATTCCATAACCATTTTGTAAATTTCATATTCATTAATAAGGTGAAGTATTTTTTTTTCACTAGTAATTAATAATAAGAGTTATAGAGTTATAATAACTCTTGTTATTAATTGTAATAATAAGAGTTATAAATAACTATTATTATTACAATTAATGAAAATAAATAAATTCATGAAATTAAAGTTGTTAATGTTGGACTTTCATTCCATAAATAAAATTTATTAATTGTAATTAATTTTATTTCATAAATACATTAATAACAGTTTACTTATAAATTAATTATAATTAATTATGGAATGAAATTCTAGACAAAAATAATTGTATAAAATCTTATCAATATTATATTTATTTAATTTTGAATGAGCTTTTTGTTGATTACGTTATTGCAGTAGAGTTTGAAGTGTTAATAATATCAAGGTTTAATTGTATTGTGGTTCCTTTATAATTACCAACCGATAATATTGGTCTTTCCTTTTTATTTATTTTTTATTTTTTATTTACATAATTTTGGCTCCTAAATTTTTAAAATCACACAATTTTAGTTCTTTTTATCAATTAAATTGTGATATGTTATTAATCTTAACACAGGCTTAAGAGGTATCACTTTAGTGATGACCTAATAATTCACATAATGATAACGTGACATCGTAGAGATAATACATTCTACTAACATAGCATTAACATGAAAAAAAAAGGATTTATTTAAAAAATTAAAAAATGACCTTCTAAAATTTAGAACTTATTACGACTTTCACTTTAAAAAAAATACTATTTAAATTATCAAACTACTAACTTTAGTAATTATAATTTAAATAATATATTATATATAACATTATAACTCATAAGCTTATCTAGTCTTAATGAATTAAAATTAAAAATAATAAATTTATTTAATAAAAATAATACATTTTAGTAAATTAACTATATAATTTATCATTTAATATATTTTTATAAAATATAGAAACATTGTAAAAAAATAACAAATAAAGATAATATAATATTAGTATATATATATATATTATTTAATATATTATTATTTTATATTGTATAATTATATTTATCAGATAGAAACATATTAAATAATAATATTTACTTTTATTAGATGAAAAAAAAATAGTAATAATATAATATTAGGATGTATATTATATAAATAATAAATAATACAAATTTATAATATTAAAATAGATAATACAACATTATTGATGTATTAAAAAAATGATAAAAATATAGTTAAAAAGAAATAAAAAAACTAAATGATTCTATGTTTATATTTATTGTATAAAACCTAATTAAATAATGATTAGACTAACATAACCTATGGATTAGGTTCTAAAGATTTGTTTTAATCTTCTTAGTTATCAAGAAATAATGTTTAAATGATTATTATACATAATTATATTTAAATGTTTATGATATATGTTCTTACCGGGATAAGTCAGCTTCCTTGTTCATCTCTTTGATCTTGGTCTTTAAAGTTGGTCTTCATTCTCTTCAACGTCTCTGATGTATTTGTAAAAAGGACTCCGACAATCAAGTTAGTCTTTCTCTCAATATTGTTCATTCCTATATAATTACTTACCCATTTCTCGTTATTGTCAGTTATTTTTTTATGTAACCGCATAGTCGTTACTTTTTGGTAAGTTAGAAACGGTTAAGTTGGTCATCTCCATATCAAGGTGTAAATACGATTTCATAAGTGTGCTGAGGTCCATGCTCGATGTCATAAGTTAAATTTGATTTTTCATTCCGAGATGCTCATCCTTTGCTCTCGCTTTGGAGGGTCGAGCTGTAGGTTCAACTTGGTCATCTAGTGAACTAGGTTGGTACATAACTCTCCCAAACTCTGAATGATGTAAGAGTGATAGAGGTGAAAATTATAAATGGATCTAATCCTGAAAAGTTATAAAGCGAAAGAAAAACATTTTTTAAAGATCCAACGGCTCTTAATGCGTGGGGAAATGCGAAGAGATGCGGTGCTTATCATTACCATGAGTCTTTTGATGTGCATAGCATTAAATGAGTCGCAACGTTTAATGAAATGGACTGCGTTTCAATAAAATTAACTGCACAGGGCCCTTCAATAATAGGACATAACATTTGAGGGCTTTAAAAAGGCTTTGGTAAGGTGTCATTCGAATGCCTATATATAGGTGTAAAGGCTCCGCGTTAACCTTTACTAGTAAAATTTCCACCTTTTCAAAGGCTTCCCTGTGTGCTACTCCGATTTCGACCATTATCGGAACTTAGAGGGTTTCGATCAAAGTTTGAAGCATTCGGAATCGGCCCGTTGCAAAATCTTACTTATTTCACAGGTATTGACTGTAAACATTACCTGGCTTAACTGCTTCATCATTTCCTGCTTTTAGATAAGGCGAAGCTAATAGATAGAAATAAGAAAGAGGTTGATAAGGGAAAGGGGAAGACGTCTGATACTAGTGGGAAGGAGGTAAATATCCATAAGAGGGGTGGGAATAACAAGAAAGATTCCCATCCCAAAATCCTTGTAACTAGATACGAATGGGTTAGGGGTGATGTTGGAAAGTATGTGAGTAAGGTCAAAAATGCGATGGAGGCGAGTATTTTGCAGCATAAACTGAGATTTTGCCTTCCCCACTTTTTAGAGCATATTGCCATTGAACTCTGTTCCCCTAATGAACGGGTATTTTATAAAGTCCCAACATCGTCTCCCTGCATATATATGTATCAATGCATGTTTAGAGATTTAGGTGTATTGGTTCCTTTTACTTCTTTTGAATGCGAATTTCTAAGGAAAATTAACGTGGCCCCGAGCTAGTTGTGTAACATTTTAAATTTTTTACTAGTATAATAGTTAATTATTGTTTTTATTTATTTATGGAGGTTACCTTCTTATAGATATTTTAATGGATTTTATAGAATGTTTTAAAGGTTTTTAATATTTATGAGTATTTTAATAATAAATATTTATGAAAATTATTTTTGATAATATTTTGATTTTTTTAGTAGCCTAGAACAGGTTGTTCCCAAACTAGAACGGACTGTTCCCAACTACTAAAATGGCCTTTAAACCATAGACTCGAATGGGTCGTTCCAACACATGATTTTATGAGTAATACGCGATTCCAAAACAGGCCGTTTCACTTTGAGAACGGGCCGTTCCAAACATGGTTGTTGTAGGTAATATGTAATTTTAGAACGGATTATTCTAGTTTTGGAACAGGCCGTTCTAGATGTGAAATTTACGTATGACGCATGAGTCAAGAACGGACCATTCCGGATTTGAAACGGGCCGTTCTGGCCACATCTGACGCTTATAAATAGAACGTTTTGGCACTCCAAAAACATATTTTTTCACTTTTGACCTCTTTTCTTCTATATTCTGTGAAAACCAAGGGGGACCCAGAGGAACAGACCAACAAGATCTGGTTTTAGTTTCAGCTCCTACTTATTGAGGTAAGGGGGGAGTGAGAAACCTCGCTTTGGGTGTGGGAATATTTGTTGGGTAGTGGAATTGACTCCCAATACTGTGTTTGTTGTATTTTTTTTATATGCTCATGTTTGAGGGATTTTCCTCAATTGTATCTATTTCACCTATTGTTTTCTTATATGTAATTAATTGTATGATCTGAGATCTCTATGGGTTCTTATGGGAAATCCTAAGGGAATGCATTGGTGATTGTAAGAGGAGATGGTTTGAAAAGGTAATTGTATGAGTTAATTGTATTGTTTTAAATGTTTATTGCATAATCTAGAGTGCTCTGTGGGTTCCTGTGGGAACCCTGTGAGAAACAGACAAAATATGAATATTTTCTATTTTGCTTTCTGATTGTTCTACTGTATTTCTTGTTGAATGAGACGTATAAATATGTGTTTATTTTTGACAATAGACAAGTTTTGATATGATTTTGAGTGCTCTGTAGAGACTATGTGAATATGATGAGATGATGTGAAAAGTGATAATGAGACATGATGATGTGATATGATAATGAGACATAAC